ATATTACTAGCATAATTAAATTAAAACTCTGACGATAGAAACAACAGTTTTTTTACCATTTAGACTAGAATTAAAATATCAAGATGGCGATTGTAAGATAATGTTATAATGGTTCTTAGGTGAGTAAACTGTCAAAATGACATGAACTGAAATCGGCCGACAAAAGGTTTATCCTCTGGTTAAAGATTATAGCTAATAATGCACGTAAATTAATTACGCAGTTGGTAAACCAGTTTATAAAGAACCGACTGTGACAAGCGAGGATTCTATAAGGACTGCAATAAGTTCAGTAAATACAATCTTCAGAATGTTAATAGATTTCTAAACATATAAAATTAAAAATATAAAAAATAATTAGGGGTAAACAACACAAAAGAACACATGAGGAACTACAGGTTAGAATGAAAAAAAAAGTCGAAATAATGCCGATGTTAGTGTACTAGGTTGGGATATTATCCAACTGAAACGAGTAACAATGTGGGCTTGTGGGTAGATTCCAGCATTTCGGAGAAGCATCCCGTCTCCAACTCGACAGGACTCAGTCGTTAACGAGTGGTTAATCTCAACATCCGCAGTGGACATCTCGAACTCAAGTTACAAAGCTGCACTTCTTTAGATAGTCTGGGACTGGGCATTTGCAATTAGATCTTTCTATTCACTTTTTGTTTTATAAACATGTTCTGCTCGTATACAACGTTCTTATATCCGACGTTATATTATCAATTTTATTTTCGCGTGTAACACACAAAGTTTATTAAACGATATTTCAGCCACTTAAGTTAAATTCTACCCTCGTATAAGAACCAAAGTTTAATTCCCCTCAGTGGCCATTAAAATGCCACTTTATTTTATAATAATATTTAAAGTTGACATATTTTAAATTCCTGAATTTAAATTAACACTTTGAATAACCCGATCTTCCTCTTAAATCATCTTGTTTTTTGTTTTCTAACTGCAATAATGTAAGCGTCTTGGTTTCGTTCCGTCCGCTCCACTACACAGCGCAGCACAGACCGGCAGCAAACCCTGTTGGACAACACCCAATTTCTTAAACAAGATTCAAGGTACTTTAATATACTTCCGGAACGAGAATCGAACTGAGTCCAATATATCGTCTTTAAAGTTATGTGGAGCCTCACTAAACTGCCTGACGATGCAGTGCAGTCTCCGAAAGAAGACCAGCAGACCAAAATACACTGCGTCCACTAACAAAGTTGAACGCAGCTGCCACTTCCCGGCTCCCAGCAAGAACTGTTGTTAATATAGAGAAATTGAAATTTATTGTTCCTATGGAGCGATACTTGACTCGTATCGTAAAAGCTTGTAGAGCTTCACGGTAAGTCATGGAGTTTCAATAGGGAGACGGGAAGTTGCGTTAAACTTTTTCAGTAGACGCACTGTCCCGTTCTTATGTTCTTCAAGCAGAAACCAAGTGTTTGAAGAATAGTAAGGCATGTCCAAAAATAACCACAACAGTCGTACCGTGTGTAGAATTGTCAGCAAGGCTCCTACACATTACGCTCTAGCTTAGAAAAGTAGGGACATAGATTATATCGATCAGATTTATTAAGTTGTATAATATTACTGGAATAACTGAGAAAAGTAACAGTATACCCAAGATGCAACGAATGACTTGCAGTGCTAAATATATGAATAAATAACATACATAAATAAACAAATGAACGTCCAAAACAGACTATAACAAGAAAAGAAGAATATATAAGCAAAGAGGGAGAGAAGCCCATGGTAGAAAGAAGACAAAGGAATAAAAATATAAAGGCAAAAGGAAATTAAAAGTCAAGAACGAAAAGTTTTCTGCGGTATCGGTTTGTAAAACCAGGCCAAGCTTCTTACATCGCGTGTCGAGATTCTCAATCAGCCGTTTATTTCTTCTGCTGCCACCACAGGGTTTGAAGCTCTGCCAAGTTCACTCTGTGCTCTGGACAGTCCTCCCTCTGGTGGTGCCACAGAAACAAAAAGAACGTATAATATATGTCTAAGCAATCTATTTTCCCCTTTCGCCTTAACCTTCGTTTCTTTCCTTCGTTCTACGTCTTTACATCTCCAACAACCTGGATTTGCCCTATTTCCGGGACACTCAGACGCCCATGGTTTCAAGTCGACGTCGTCTTCGTGATATGTTGTTTCGTTCGGCTTTTAACTCTAGAGACCACTTCCTCCAAAAGAATTCATCACGCATTGCACAATGGATTGCAAATAGATTCTCAAACATCGTCCCAGAGATTGCGTATTCTGCCTCTGTATTCAGAGTTATAGACACCAATTTTACACAAATCTCCTGACGGAACTAAAAAAAGAACGATGGAGACACGATTATGTAAAGGTTACGGAAAGTTACTTTTCCTTGTATTTTATCACATATATACAACCGTAATGGAAATACATTTTAAATAAAAGATACATACAGACATTTATATTTTATAAAGTCCTGTTCCTACGTCGGATTAAGCACCACGCCATAAAGACACGACGAGGAGTGGCGGCATACGAATACCTCTACAACGGCTATAGATGGAGGTGAATTCGATTCGAGGAACGAGCCAGCCGCGGTATGAATAGGACAGGGGACTTGTTGGCACCCAGAGACGGCGAAAGGAACAAATCTCCACCCTTTTCGGGAACAGAACCCGGGTCGTTCAACTCTTAACCTAGTCGCTACACCGGCTGAACTATCGTCCGTAACATTAAAATAGACAGCACCAAATGATAGAGAATATATTTTAAGTATGGTTAGTTTTAAATGCTCATTTCTGTCCCTGCTTCGTATGTATTTTAATGAAATTACTTTTCCGCTTTAAATTATATTATAAATTAAAATAAAATATAAAGTACTGAAATATATTACCTGATGTTTAAGACGCTGTTAAGTAAAAATTGACATTGGAGGGTTAATAACGTATATTTTCTGGCGACGTTATAATTTTTACCGTTACTTTCAGTGATCACTCGATAGAACAGTTTGGAATTTACCAAAATTATAAACAGGAAGCTCTGCGGGGGTACCCATCTGTTTACTTCCGCGGACAGAGAACAGCTGAAAGCATATTCGTTTCTGTTCTGCTCACGCGGTGCAGATAATACTGTGCAGGACCACGTTTCTTGCTTAATTTATACAAATTCTTACGCCTTAAGTTTGAAATATGAAACAGAAAGAGAAAACAGTCATCAGCAGACAGTGGAATGCTAAAAAAAATAAACATGGGTGGATCAAATACAAATAGGTCTGCATTTACTTTCAAGTAACATTACTATACGAAATAATTTTCGATATATTATTTATTGTTACTTGCTTTTTAAATATCTTGTATCAACTGTTACTTATAACTAAATGAATTTGGTGTGTATAGAGGATACTGTGAGCAGAAAATGGCTGGCGAGGAAGTGAATATTTTTACGACCTCGGAATTCGTCTAGTGCCAAAAACGAAGACAAGTGAAAGTACTCACTGTCAAGTTTCTTTTCCGATACCACTTTCGAGATTTGAGGAAACAAATACTGCTATAAAGACACTTTAAATCAATATGTACTATACACGATGGCGGGGGTGAGAACCAGAGGGTTAAGTATGAATTGAAGTAGACCGGAGTAATGCGCAGAAAAAATAGACAGCTATAGAAGCCAAAAGAATTGCACCCGAATTACAGATTTTTCTCGGGCTAAATTGTTTCTCTGACAATATCATTTACCTTGAATGTATTCCAAATTTACTGACCTTTCCTCCTCCACCTTCATACGATCACCGCACGAGATGTCTTGCAAATCTCACCTTAACTGCCACGAGTATTTATTTATCTTTACACCGGTGAATCCTATTGCTGGTTCGCAAACACTAAGCCGCTCGCCAAATAAATAATTTCGTTTGTTTATTTACACTGCGCTACGCGTTGGGAACGTCCACTGATCGTCATTATTCTACGTGTCAACATTTTGCGATCCAAGCACTTCCGCCACAAAATATTTAGTTATTGCAGATTTATTACGCTACAAAGACATATTTGTATTTGGGGAAACAGCGAATTAATGGTTTTAATTCAAGGTGTAGGTACAATCTCGTTTTAACTTAGTTCCAAGCAAGCTGAAACTCACCATAGGCTGTAAATGTAATGACGCACAAATTCCGGTTTGGTACAGCAAATTGATACTTCGGTGGGTACAGACTAGGGGTTCTCAAGGTTTTCCAGACATTATTCGCCCCTAAACATCGGCCCACGGTTTAACGACTGCAAGCTTCTCAAGATGGATTCTGATCCACGCAGTTAATTACCAAGTCGCGGGCCGCAGAGTTATAAATAAGAAACGTTTATTGAAACTTTATTAAAAATTCTATTAACTTACTACTGCAGACAGCCTTACGAATCCCTCACTAATTACCTTCAACAAAATCAGTCATCAATAACATTGTTTTTGCTGGAGTAATCTTTCGATATCAGGCTTAATTTTTGTTGTTACCACTGGCATGCATTATTTCAAATGTTCATCAGTACGACAGGGGTCAGCAGTGGCCGCGCGGTCTGAGGCGTGGGCCTTGTGCCGCTTGGTCGCTGGGACCGTGGATTCGAATCCCACTCAAGCCATGGATGTTTGTCCGCGTTTTTCTGTGTTGTGCTGTCCTGTGTACAGGTAGAGGCCTTGCGACGGGCCGATCCCTCATCCAAGGAGTCCTACCGAATGTCCATAGATCAAGCCAACGAAAAGTTGGGACCCGCAGTGCTCAGGCACTTGAAGAACGGGTCGTTCCCGGTATCCCAGTATCAGTACGACACGTCCTTGCACGTGATTTGACATCTTATTTACGCTAAACCGTTGACGACAGCGAAAGGCACTGCCAAACACTGGCGATGATAACAAGGCAGGTTTTCTCATACCATCATCACAATGGCGACACAGTATCACAGAAAATTGCAGGTCGCGGGTTGACAATCTCTCACATAGACTACAGACAGTTTAAAGGAGCGCTTCAAGAACAAAGCAGTTCCTACCTGCTGGAGGTCGTCCCTCAAGATCACATGTTGAGCTGCGGTTTCTGCTAGGATCCTCTCCGTTGATGCGGGCCGCGGTACTCCGTCCAACGCTGAAACCTCTTTCAGCTGCGGAGGAGACGGAGGTGGAGGCAGTTCCTCTTCTGCGCTGTACCGCGTCTTCTGTAACATCAATAGAATGGCGAATATGAAGATAGGTACGCGGAAGGTACCTTTTCGAATCTCGTCTGGGATATAGGTTATCCACACACTTTCTTTCTTAACACTACGCAAATGCACGGTATTATATATTATATATTACTCACACTGTCTTCCACGTTAGTTCTGATCCATCATTCTGCCATATCTCATCTAAGTATAACTTCTGATGTTTATAAAACACAGTGATACAAACGAACATGGGCCTACGACAATAACACTCACATATGATCATACTGTCATGGCAAAGCTGTGTTTGGAGCACAGTGTGTAACGAAGGGTTCGGTGTGATAACAGCGATACTTCCGTAAACATCATTAATCAACTGATCTTTCCAGCAGAGACGCATTGGTTTCTAAGAGGTACGAGCTGAGTTCTTGAAGGAATACATAAATCACTTATTTCTTATGCAGGAAAGCACTGATAATAAATGTTCAATACTGATTGTGGGTAGTAACAGTACGACATGCACAGCATATAATGAAGCTTTTACAGAAAATGTAACTCTATTGGTCCTGTCGACAGAATTTAAAAGAGTAGGATGTTTTCATGACAAGGTAGGATATGGAAGACCAGGTCTCTCACAGCAAAATATCACTAAATTGATGAGATTTCTCCACTGTCACTTCGTCATCACACAGACTGAGCATAACCAAATCATCTGCTCACAAGATTTTAAAATCAAATCAATGTTTTAATTGTATTAATAAACACTCCTGCGTTTACACTATTGCATTATTTTTACTAAACTGCTTTAGATTTCAAGGTATACTATTCACATACAACGGTTTAAATTAGTGATATAATAAGGATAGTGAATTTCCATGCATAAAGCTTTCTATCATAAGAAAAATGTCACTTAGTGAAAGATTCCACGATCCAAGCACCACACACTTCTGTTTATGAAAGGTTAATACTAATTAGTTTAAATACGATGGTGAAATTTAGAAAATGCTACAGGGCAACTTATTTCTGACATTTTAAGATCTACGAAAGTTAAGGTCTTTGTGCGCGCATTAATACTCCATATTAAAGACCTCCATACTTTAGACAAATAACGCTGCAGAGTCCTAATGTAAAATAGATTAACGTACAGGACTATCGTACGGTATTATAATTTGCATAGTTTAGGAGTATGTCAGCTTCTCGCCACTGTTCTAGTTTAGTCTTTTGTTCAGGTCTACTAAAGCGTTCATCAGAAAGTAATGGGGCTTGTTTGATGAAGTGACAGCCAATCGCAATGCCTTTGTTATCAGAGGATCATACGCCAAGCTTTGATTTGTGAAGTGTCAGACATTAATCCAGGAAATTGTCAATTGTAACAGTGTAAAATAAATCTATCTGGTAGGATTTGAGGTTTTCATGGCGGTGAAGCCGAAGATGGCTGTCTTCTGGTTTGTAGCGCCGAGTAGTCTGGTAGAAGCTACCCAACGTTTCAGAGGTCTTTGCCGCCTCCATCATAAAGGCAACGAGTCTCAGAGTACAAAACTGAAGAAATCTGTCTCTTGTGCTTTTAAACAAAGAGCCCTCTGTGTAATCTCCAATTACGTCACAAAATATTTCGTATCGGTTTTCTTAAGAATTCTGAGGATAATAAATATAACACAAATTGATTATCTTTAGCACACGTCCCCTGCCCAACTTCTAGGGCCCCAGAGGCGATAATTGTTAGATAGAATACATACATACAAGAAGGAACGAGAGCTATCAATCGCCTACGTGAAAAATCACTAAAAAAAAGTTTGTTTTCTGAGAGTTCTGGTAAATGCACTCTATTGACTACCAAACGTAAATATTATCGCAAAGTAAAATTACCTTGGTTGCCTGTTCAGAAAATATCACGAATTACTTACAGTGCGTCGATCCAGTATCTTGGCACGTCCATTCACTACAGCAACAAACAACTCACTGGCTATTTATTTAAACACGACAAATATACGGGTTTTCATCCCGCAGGTGACTCAGAAGATAAAAAGGAACGCCATGTTTAATTAAACACACTAAAATCTTTATGATATTGATCCTTATTAATTTTTATTATTATTATTTAGTGTTCTGTCTGACGACAGGTCCATATGAACAGGATCCTTCCATCCTTTTCTCGGACTGGGACCTGTTCATATACGTTCTTGGCAGATGATCCAGAAGCGGTTTGCCATTGCCTTCTTCTGTGCGTGAATGGAGTAATTGTTGGGATGCCAATGAGGAAAACTCCGTGTTGCCTAGGCCACGGCCTTGCCCAACACAAGTTGTCTAGTAAGAATAAACATGGTACTAGACCTTTCTGGAGGGAACTGAACCCGCAGACTTCTCCTTCAGATATATCCGGCTTTCCATTTTATCGAATACAAATGTAAAGTTGAGACTTGTATGTGAGGCACATACTTGGGATACCAACAGGTATACACGTTGATAGAAGTCTTATGAATCCTCGATAGTGATAAAATGTACTGAACTTGCTTCAAACTATGTTAGCAGCACAAAGAAATAACTAGTAGTACTTTATGCTGCTACGTTGCTCATAAATTATCGGTATTTTGTCTATCTAACCAGTTCATTTTGAGAGAGTTAAGTCTGTTTATCGAAATTCGTAAATACCTCGGCCAATCTCTTAATTTGTTGACCTTTAAACTATCTTAATTCTTCTCTTGCTGTTTCAAGTGATTGTTTCAAAATCTTTATTCGGGCTTAGAGTGCCCGTTATTTTGAAAGTAAACGCATACATTATCTGGTATTTTAGGCCAGAGAATTCGGTACTCAAGTGCCCACGTATCAGGTATAGCTTGGTCTAATGGGCCTAACATAAAATATGTTCCCCTTTCTTACCTAAAAACGAAGGAAGATCCATCTTTCGAAAAGCAGCGATTTTCAAGTTTTTAAAACTTTCAGGGATTAACAAAAACAGACGATGGCTAAAGTCCGAAAGAAAGAACTATCTGTTACTCAGGTGAAAACTTTAACTAGCAAAGTGTGGATTAACTTTGTGAGGGCGGACATATAGATCTTGCAAAACATGTAAAGCTTTAACCCTGCACAATGTAGCGTTGAAACAAATACGATTCAAGTGATAAATTTGTAACCAAGATTTACTGCGCCATTGGATTTCTGTGTGGGTCCGCATTGCCGAAGTCAAAGCTCTTTTCCTAAGTAACAAACAGTAGTAATACTATTAACTGATTGCTTTGCAGTTTTAAAATTCCACAATACTGGGCCAAAACATTCTATAATTTTAGTTTCATACCACTTTCAACTAAGCGACGAATTAACCTCTACAATAAAGAGCAATTATGAGAACACACGCAAACATACAATAAAGCAACGTTTGAAAAGTCAGTTATTAAATATGATATACAACTGTACAACTTTTGACGACATTAAACAGAGGAGGTCGAAGTACGCTAGAATAATAAGAGAAGCAAATGAACGGAATTTACCAGAAAGTGAATGGGGTTATATTACTACAAATCTGTTACTTTGTCTTCCATTCTGCTGCAGCTAATAAACATAAGAAATCACCAAAATAAGCCATTTGCATTCTAGTACTGGGGCCATTGATGCCCCAGATTTGTGCCACATATGGAAATGGTGAGCTCTTAAGATACATCTGGACGCTCAAAACCAGAATTTCGGCTTCTAGTCTAGCATCTTTAGAAAAGTTCGCAGCATTCCGAAGAACCTATTAAAGTCCTTCAGTTCGTCACAATGCGTAAAGAATTCCGGAATGGCTGGCGGGCGGAGGGCGGTTACTAAAATTTGACAACATATTCCATTGATTATTAAAATCGGAAAATAACTGACACTTGAAGTCTTGACGTGTTTCTGCGCGCCGAAGTGACTACGTGTGGATTCTTCAGGCTACCTCTGTTATCTTGGTTGAAATCGAAAGTTCAATTTAGGTAAAACAGCAAGAACTTTTATTGTAAGCTACGAATACATTTTTTGTTTCGTCCTGTTATGGCAGAAGCACTGCGACGGTCTGATCGTCTATCCAAAGAATAAGCACTGCCTCTTGCTTTAGGATCTAAGAACCTCCTACAACAGACAACGGCCCTGTACGAATCGGATTGTAGTGTCAAGAATAAGAAGACGTAGATGAAGATGAAGAAAATGAAGAAGAGATGAGAGCATAAAAAGTCGGTTACGTAATCTTCTGTAGAAAATATATTAACAGTAGAATCAGGTAACCCTGGGTGGGATACAAACTGAGGTCATAAGACTAACAGACAAAAATTACACAATACTCTAACGAAGCAAACACTCGACGAGGTGAAGAAAATCATGGCAGCCCATGTCATCTGACTCCATTATTCCTTCTCACGCCGAGGGTTCGACTTGTAGGGAATAAACAAAGTTGAAGTGGCGAGCAAACAGTCGTGCAGACACGTTCTTAGGTTGGGGCATTCTGAACCCTCTCACGCAACCCCACAACCTCACGGCAATCTTAAGTTTCGAGTCAATATTGACACCAAACTGGGAAAACTTTTAAATGAGATGAGGAAATAGCCAAGATGCG